ATAAAATTATCTGCTAGTGCGCTAAATATCGTCAGATTTTTTATTTGATCTATTATTTTTTTAAAGTCCGCTTCCTGCACTTATTCGGAAGAAAAAACGTAACATGGCTTACGGCCTTGACGACGACTCAGACTCTGATGTTGAAGCTCCTCGCAACAGATCTGTCTCCTCCAGCCAGGCTCCAAAAGAATCCGTCGATCCTGCGGAAGAATGCCAAGTAGGGGAGCCTACAGAGACCGATGCGGTATGTAACTTTTCAATATTCAACTTGGCCTGTCAAAAAAAGACGATTAGTATCTTTGTTTATGTTTTAGGTCTTGCATTAAGATTCACTTTTATGGAATTCTTAGCATACACATTACATTAAGATTTTAAGTGAGCTTAGATAATTTTTTTACATTACGTACATAGATGTCATTCTGCTTCTTCCTCAGCCCAACTTTTTATTTTAGTTCCTTGCTACACGACGCCATTGTTTCATTTTCTTACTCAGTTTGGGACTTCTCTAGTTTTCATCGAGAATATCCTATTCACTTCCTAACTGATTGATTTTTTTATTTATTCAGAAGCGTCGCTCCTGCCGCAATACCGGAGGCCAGAAGAAATATATAATAGACACCGATCTGGGGCTTTCAGAAGATAATTCTGACGAACAAATTGGTGATGAATCTCTTATGGAAACTACAGTTAGTGAATCGTCATTTTTATCATACCACGCTATACGCACATACTTAACTAAATTATTTCGATTGTAAATCTTGTTAATCTTTCACAAAATTTCATCGGTTTTCTTTTAACACCTGAGAAGCAATGTACAAACCATGAATATAGCTGACATCTATCATAATTTTCGATAACATACTTAAATTTATTATTCCTTATTTTTAAAGGATATGCTTGACGAAGGAGAAGTCAAGGTTGTACAAAAAATTCTTGGCCGCCGCATGCTGAAGCGTATTGTCAAGCGGAAAAAGTCTTCCCTTTCTTCTTTAGGTGACAAAAAAACTGACAGCGAGACTTTCAAATTATCTTTGGATTTCTGTCAAGATGACGATCATAATTCGAGTCATCAGGATGGTGGAAAAACTGGGGCCTCCACCGGTATTCCTCACTTAACTCCCACTTTAGGATCCGACAAACTCCATGAAGCCAAAGGCACTGATGATCTAGCGACAGAAGTGGGAGAAAAATCAGCGGATCATGAAGAAATAGAGGAGGAAATAGAAGAGTTCTACTTAAAATATAAAGGATAGTAAGTATTCTTTTTTTCATTTATTGGTCTTATCTGTCGACAACATTTTGGCATCTGGCTTGTTGGATCATTTCCTTAATTCAGATGATAAATTATTTTATTTTGTAGCCTTATTTCATTTAAAAAATAATGGTCGCTACTCTCTGATCCATTTTTTTAATTTTTCTCTTCATCTATAGCTCTTACATTCACTGTGAATGGCGTACCCTCGATGAGATCGAAGACCCACGCTTTGCCACTAAACTTCGACGTCATCTGCAGAAATTTAGTCACGA